AGGCTGGAGCTGACAAGAATGTGGCAATGGAAGATGGGGCAACAGCTCTGTTTGTTGCGGCTCAGAACGGCCACTTGAAAGTGGTTGCCACAAAATGGTTACTTGGATGGTGCAATTGTTGCGCTGAGAGATCACGACAGCGAGAATGGAATGGCAGCCTTTTAACCTGCATGAGTTCTAAACTATTTTACATTACCACAGCAATGACACAACCCCGGTCAATCCAGGTTTTCAACTCAAGAACATCGTTGTCACCCTGAGAATCTGGGCAAGACTTTTTGTTCCGGGGAAGTATTTTGGAGTCGCTGCAGACCTGAAGAGGGCACCCCGACTTGGTTCCTTCTTATGGAGACGCCAAACGCGAACGCCACGGGGTTGGGCGGTTTTGGCTGCGGTGATGGGCTGCGGTGATGGGCTGCGGCGTTGCACGGAGGGCCTTGGATGGACACCCTCCGCTGGCTTTGAACATGCATGACACACGCGGGAAAGCACAGAGCCATTGGTGCGTTGACCAAGCTGCAAGCCCAAAGCGCTCACCTTCCGCCTACTTCCAAAGCAGAGTGACCGACGTGAAGCATCCTGCTGATGAAAGCGGGTGCTGGTACTCGCGACGGTTGCACCCGTTCTGCCACCAAGTCCACCCCTTATCAATTGACTCTTGCTAAACCATTTAGCTTCGATTCTCTTCGACGTGTTCTTTTACACCTCTTTCTTTTTTATTCTTTTGATTTTTAGACTTTAGACCTTTCCCTTTTTCTTTTAATCCAGATTCGCTGGGTGATTCGTCCAACCCTGGAAGTCCATTGCTTCGAGGTGAGCACGATGCACCGATCTCCTTGCCCCGGCAGACCTTCTCTTGCGCCATGAACCTGTCACTGGGTTCAGACCGACCGGTCGTCGACTGGGTTTGGCTCGGGTTCCCGATTGGAGGCACCGGCATGGCCTTTTTGATCCTTTTTGGTCTATTTTCTACCACCTGGGCTTGGATGGTAGAGAAATTGGAAGCATCATATGTATCAACTATGTGCAGCGTCTACTGAAATACTGCAGTTGTCCGATTATTTGCAAATTTGTCGGGAAACGCCAGAACTCATTCCCAGCACCTTGCAAAGGATGATTATTGGATGGCAATGGTAAGCCAATGCTAGTGAGGATCCGTGAACCGCCCGTTAGATGGTGCTGGTGGAAGATATTCCATTGGCTTGAGGATGAAATCACCACGGGGGTTCACTGTGGTTCGGACCAAATCAGCTAGGGAGCTTCGGGATGCCTCCCAAAAGGACTGAAAGGCGTGGGCTTTTTGCTTGAACACCCTAACAATGGCGCTGGGCTGGTGGGCTTGGGCTGTTATATTGCTTTGTGCCACTTGATTGGCCAAACTGCCGGGGGATCTAACCAAGGAAAAGCACTTGAGCCGTGGTTATGGTGGCAACCAAGTATTTGCAAACAAGCTTATACACTGATCATTGATCATGATTTAAGAACGTCTTCCAAACGGTTGTTTGTCGATTCTCAATACATCGCTGATGCAGCTGGGCCGAGCAGCCGAGCGGGCCCCGCTGCGACGAACGTTCCGGGGAGTTAATCTACATGTATAAGAACTCTGGGATGATCCCTCTGAGGGTTGGAGGCCATCGCTATATAAGGTTGGAGGCCATTCCTAATAAGATCCTATTAGGTTGGAGGTCTCATCAATAGTGACTCAGGATGAAGGATGACTCAGATGTCGCTCCCGTTGCGCCAAGGCTGTGCTTAGCTTGGATCGTGGCCGCTGTGTGGTTTGCCATCGTCATTGAAAAGGTGCGGACCAAAGCAACCGGCGGGAGAGGGTGGCGTGGCCCAACGTGGATGGCATGGCCTTGATTTTGGATGACCATGAAATCCGAAGACCAAATAGGTGGTGAACTGCAACTTCCATGATGAACTTTATATAGTAAGTGTAAGTCAAAACAGGCCTGGGTGGGACACTTCTCTTTCTCCTCCTTCTTTGCCGATCGGTTTGGGGTCGGGTGTACCAAGAGGCGGGCCGAGCCGGTCGACGTCCGACTCCGGCACCAGCGGAGCGACGGAAGATGCGACGGACGCGGCGACTGACCTTCCTTTGGTCGCTCTGGAGAGTGGATGGCGCTGGTGTGACGGCTGAAGAGATGGGTGTATTGCAATGTAGAATAGGGAGATCTCCCAGGCAAAGACCACCCGGAAGAAGGTGCATAGACATAAACACCATTTGTCCCTACTAAATACACACCCAGATAGAAAAGTGAAACCTCTTGTCCTTTCGCCAAACCAGCCTGTAAGGAAAGGGTGTCCCTGAGTCGCTTGCCACTGAATGACCGACGCATTTGGTGTAAACATCTTCATGAAACTGAACCTGTGTTTGGATGAATTCGCTTGCCAGTACAGCCAATGCCATGGACTCGTAACGACTGTTCACCGGACTCTCCGGTGATGCTCCCGGCATCACAGGCCACTTTCGGGAAACACCATGCCATCTTTCACAAGAAGGCCTCCTTCGGTGCCTGGGACGATAAGACCCCGCACATCGGTCGATCCGCCGTGAGCCGCATCGGTCGATCCGCGAGTGGATCCGTACCGCCGCACGGAGCGGATCCGTACCGGTACAACACGGTTGGTGCGCGCGCGCTTATGCGCCTACAGCTTGGTCTGATTTTCTGATCCACGTCCTTTCAGAGACCAAAGAGCTCGCCGGGCCCTGTTCCCTTTCCGTGCGGGAGAATTCCGGCTTCAGTTTACTCTCAGACTAAAGAAAGGACTTATTTGAGGCTTATGAATGCTTAACACATACAACTGCAATGATGCTGCATGATGATCGTTGGATGTGGAGCATCTCAACCCGCAGAGATCTTCATGGCCCGGCGGTGTTACTTTGGAGCGACCCATCAATACGTAATATGTTTGGCATAGCTATACAGTGCGACCGGCAGATTCTTAAAACATCGATTCCGGATTTCCTTAATTGAGTCTACAGATGGGGCTTTACACGTAGCAGCTTCGAGTTGATGGAGCTCTCCTCGAGTTGAGAGTTGGCAATGTGTCCCTGTGTTTGTAAAGAGGAACAGCCCCTGCCGTGGCCTGTGACCTTTTGCTGTGTTTCAATGCCAGTTGACAGTGGGGTCATGGCACCTGGATTCCCATTGGTCACCACTACCTGGGTATGGTCAAGGGTGGTCGGGCGACCCTTGGTGGGTCACGCTCCATCCCCAGCTTGTTGTGTGTCTGACCGTGTTTTGATGCACGTGCCTTCGACTGAAAGGTTCGGGCGAAAGCGATGAATCATTTTGGGAGGGTGGACTCAGTGGATGGCCCGGAGGAGGGATCCCAGATGTGGGTGAAGGTCGGAGTCGCCCGAAAACCCCAGTCTACTGTCCCACTTTTTCGTGCAGCACAAAGAAATCTGGCTCAGAACTTCTTTGGACTCTTCTGTTGCCCCTTTTCAGAAATCCGTGACAGGATGTAGTCATCTGCTCCCAAAGAGCAGTCCGCAGTGCTGGATTTGATTCAAAAACACGTCCTTCCGTTTGAAGAACCGGGCGGCCGGGCGGCCTCGTCACTGCTAAGTTGAGACGGGCGGCTACTTGCCGCGCTTGTCCAGCTTGATGCAGACCAATGAGGAGCATTTGTCCAGCAAGGACCGGCTTCGTCGGTATTGGGAAGAATTCTCGATCTTCATGATGTTTTATTTCGAAGGGAGAAGGCCTGGTGAGTCCCCTATTGCCCTTTTCAAGAACCTCTTCAAAAAATGTCACCCCGGAAATGACCCCAAACCCCAGCCTGTGAGACCCATGCAGCCCCGTTGTGTCACTGCCTGAGCCAGGAGCTGAGCCTGTCGGTTTCTTGGCCACATGCGAATGTCTTGTGCCTGGGCAAAACCGGCCGCTCCGATGGACCCTTGGAACACGGCACCGGGCATCGCTACGAACGTAACCAGTGCTATTAGTAACGGGCATTACTGCTAGTAGCAAAGAAGCTACGAACAGTGCTACGAACGTAACAAGGGCAGAAGGGACTTCGAGACCTCGATTTTTGTTTTGCTTTTTGTGAGTTTTGGCTGCTCACGGCGTGTACCTGAGAACAACTTGAAGCCCCCCCGAATGATACAGTCATGGCCATCAACAAGGTCTTGGTCGTAGCGCAGTAAAACCAGCTCCAGCAGGCAGCTGAGAGGGTGCAAGTCATGTGAGCTTGCACCAGATTTGCCGATCTGGTGCAGACTCGGACATCCAGACGGTTCCTGTTTCAAGCGCCGCTACGCCTGGGGGGAAGACCGACGGTTCCGTCCCGCCGGTGACCTCATCGGAGCTGCACCGACAGCCGACAGCTGCCGTTCGTGTTGGTTCTGATCGTCATGAAGCAGAATGGGATGAGGCCCCAATCTTTTGCATGTGATGCCAACGGCACAGAGTTCGTGATCTCTGATGCTTGGCTTGAGAGACATGTGGAGACTTAAGGACTATATTAGACTATATATCGCGTAGTCGGCATCTGGAGCACATGGAAATCTGTATGTCACGCCCTCTTTGCATCACCAGGACTAGCCTCTTTCTCCAGATTCAAATTATAGTGAAAGTCTTTCCTCCTGCACTGAAATTATCCTCAGGTGTTGGGTAGACGAGAAAGCAGTGTCGCTATCGTGGACCCACTTCCTATTCCTCACTCGTGGTCTTGTGTGGTTCCCTTTGGTCAACATCTACAGGTCCAGCCTCGGTTTTGTGGCAAGCAGTTTTCCATGGAGAAACTTGCATTTGCTCCATGGCTGTGACATGCAGGCCGAAAGACAAGCTGCAGTGAGGCTGTGGCTGCTACCACTGACAATGCAGAACCTCTTGATCTGTCAGATGTGAGATATCTGTGAATTCCGGAACATTCTCTTCCAAGGGTTGATTTCCTCACCGGCTTTTGCTTGGAGAGCAAGTTATCAACTCCTCAAACATCAAGTCATCAACATCTATCCAAAGTATTTACGCCGCTGTAGGCCCCAAGGCGGAAACTCTCTGGCGTCTTCCCCACCAGATGGATGATGATGGATGTGCGCCATCTCCTCCAAGGATGGCCTGGCGCTCTGGAGGGCTGGCATGAGCAATAGCTCCATGAGCTTTGAAGAGGTCGGAGACCGGAGACCGGAAACCGGTGAGATGGGTGGAGGGGGACCTCCCCTGGATGGGTGAGCGCGCTCCGTTCGTAGCGATGTCCTTTGTTCCGTTCGTGGCGTCCTTGCTCCTAGTAGTAAGGCCAGGCAGGACGCCCCCGAGAAAGTAGTAGTAGTCGTGAGCCCCCCCCCCTCGAACTGGAAAAGTAGTATATATAGTAGTCGTGGCCACCGCCCCCCTCTCCTCGAACCCTTCTTACAGGCCATAAAGAAGGATCCTGTGCTACGAGGGCCTCAAAACAGGATCCTTAAAGAAGGATCAGGCCAGGAGCTACGTTCGCGGCGTCCTTGCTCCTAGTAGCGATGCCAGGAGCCCCCATAGTAGCTTCTTGTTACTAGTAGCAAGGCCAGGAGCTACCTTCGTAGCGTCCTTGCTCCTAGTGGTGCAAAAAAGTCTGCAATCTCTATCCAACATCTGGGCTGGTGCAGGTGGGTTACTGAGAGGTGTCGAACACTTTCTGGGCCAACTCCAAGTCTTGGAATGATCCTCACGCGAAAGAGGTTCTTCTCACTTGGGAGAAACCCGAGCTCGACAGGTGGCGGGTTGCTTGATGTGTATTTTTCCATGAGACACACCACAAAAATCGCAGCCCCGAAAAACATGAAGTCCTTAGTGGGCTGGTTGGGTTCCAGAAATCCAGCGAACAGTCCTGCGACCACGAAATGAGACTTCTGTTGTGACTCGCAACGGAGGTCTGTTAGATCCAGTATCCCGATTTTGATCCACAGACCAAAGAGTCTGCCAAGGCCTAGATAGCCACAACTTCCCTTCACAGTGGTTGCAGGGTGCCTCGAATTTCACTTTGGAACACAGTCACTCGGTGCTTGCCGCACTCTCATCACTCTCATCACTCCTCTCCAGGCACCCTGCCTAGCGGGTGAAAGTCTGCTGGACGCCGCGCTGCAATGCACCGAGCAGCGCGAGGGGCCATGCAACGTTTTGGTGCCTGGGGAGACATCCCAGACACTCAATGTATGCCATATATGTATGCCTATACATTGATCCCCAAACCATCCCAATGTAGGCATATATATATATGGCATACATGGAGTGTCCGGGCATGATGAGACTGCTTGGCCAAGATCATGCACTGGACATCCTTTGCATGGCAAACAAGGACGAAAGGACATCCTTTGGACGTGTCTGAAACCCATGAGAAGGAAGATGAGCATTCAGACTGAAGAACCGTGCAGATGAGGATTCAGATAAAAATACCTACTATATAGTGTTTGTGCTACCGGAAAACCAGGCCGGCCTGGTGGTTCGGCCCACGTGCGGTCGACCAGTCCTGTTGGGTCCATCCAATCGTTTTGTCGACCTGTCATATGTATATAAATACAACAAGCAAACTGTTCATTTTGTATTATATTCATATACACCATAAAAAACGGGCAAACACACTATATAACATAATTAAATAGATAATAACATATCAGGGGGTCGTGTAGAGGGTCAATCCGACAATCCGGTCCAAATATTGCAAGCTTGAACGAATGCTAATGTTTGGATCATTGGATCACTGGGAGTGCCATCCGAAGCGATGCTCACATCACCTTCTTGAATTCTTCAGCCCTCCAAGATAGACCACCTACTTCCTAAAAGGCGAAAGGAAGACCTTCTGCATCACCTCAGATGAAGGCTCTTCATGGCTCTTCCATCCTCCCCAACCCATGGGTCATTGGTTGGATGAGTACTGGTTTGCTCTTCATCTTCCCGTGGATTCACTGGGCGGTCACCTTCTGTCCACATCCACATCCGGGCTGGACCTCTGCAGGTGCTCCACCGCGCTGGACGGCGTTTGAGCTCCTGCAATGCCGAAGGCGCAGTGGATGGATCCCGGTGACGCTGATGTTGATCGGTTCTGATTGCCAAGACTTGAGTTGGACAATCCAGATCACCTTCGTCATGATGCCATTGGCTGTTTTGCCTGCCAGTTGTCACACTTTTCGGCGTTCTTTGGCTATGTTGCTTATGACTCACTGTGGATCTGTGGCCATGACTTCAAGACGTTCGGTGTTCGTTCATGCTGGCCGTTTCTCGGCTTGGATGCTCCTGGGTCGGCTTCCGAAATCCACGGCGACCGGGCGGTCTGGACGTCGCGGACGTCGCGGACGTCCTGCCGGCCAGGCCGAGACATCTCGGACGCCTGGTTGGAGGAGCTTCGAGATCCCGGTGCTGCGGAACGCTTCGGGGGCGAGGCGCCACATGCCCGCGTGGAGAAGGCGCGACCGGAGGAGGACCTGAGAACATCGCGAGCAGCGGGAGACATGGGCTGAGCCAAGGAAGAAAAGGGGATGGTGGTCAAGCACAGCGGAACGCGGCCGGAATCGTAGGTTGGGAAGTGTGAAGGTTTTGATTTTTGGGTGTGACTGCTGCCTTCTGTGTTTGTTTGCCTTTGCGGGAAGGATCAGGGAGAGTGGTTCATTGCCCGTGTCATTGGTCTGTGATCATGCGCCAGGCGATTACTTTGTCACCACAAAGCAATTGCAGAGGCGTGGCATGGGGCGGGTTGGACGGCGACCCAAGATCAAGAACAATTCCGCGTGAGCTACATGTCATGAAGCGATGGAATGGTCAACAATGGTCAACAATATGGAGACATCCGATAGTTTCAGGTGACATTTTCCTTCAGCCTTTTCACATACAGAGCCGCACTGCACAAGCTTTTCTAATAACTCGAATTCTTGGATTGCTCACGTCACCTACAGGATTCCTTTGATGATCTTGACGGTGCAGAAGGAAATTGGTCATCGACCACGGAAAGGAAAACGCATTTGGTCCCTCCAAACTCAAGCAGCGGGGCGGGAGAACTGCATCGTGGAAGATCTTCCCTCCAGGCGAGAACTGCCTCTTGTTGGGCACCAGCCGTGGGCGGTTGGTGCGCTTAACCGAAAGAGCTGGGAAGCTTGCGCCCTTGTGCCTTGGCGACGCTGGAGGGGGGACGACAGTATAAGGTGAGCGGCCGTCCGTGCTCCCCTGAAGAGAAGCGCAACCTAAAAGTTCAACAGCTTTCCAGACGACCGACCAGTGATGACTATATAGACCTAGTGTTGCAGTGGTGGCATGCAACAGATGAAGTCGGCATGTGGAACGTTCCCAGCTTTGGAAGAACCGTACCCGACTCCCGCTCCGCAGACCGTTCTGCGCCCGAGGCAAGCGCTTCTGGACCGCGACCCTCACGAGTCTGAAGCGTGGGTTCCAGGCGAGGCGACGCGGACGCGTGGACTCACTGATGGTGGCGACCCCGTTGAAAAACGGGCAACGTTGTGATGGGCAGTTTTGGGGGGCAGGAAGTAAACGGACCGAAAAACAGACCTATGCGTTTGGAATCTGGACCTCATTAGATCACGACTTGACATCACCGAACTGCAAGCAGGGCTTGGTGGAAGCTTTGTACTGACAACCTTCGCCTGGGGCCTAAAACCATCAAGGTTTCAAAAAAACACATGCGGTGCGGTGAGAAGTGGGCGGGTGTTTCATGCGGATCCTGTGAAGGGATGCCTGTGGTTGCTTGAGATGGCGCTCTAACCTGGTTTGGTCCTCTCTTCTTCCGAACCTGAACAATAACTTTACGATTTATGCTTGGAGGGTATTCACATTTCAAGCTATTTTGAGTCCATCTGAAGGCCCTTGGCATAGGTGCGTATGATACGCCCGTTGTTGGTTGGAACGCCTTCAGAAAGGGGAGGACCGTCTTGCACAGAAAAAACCACGTTTAACGATGACACACCTAAGCCATCTGTGGCTTCAACAATCGGGTGCCATCTCATTCCTCGATTCCTTCTAAAATACACATGGATGCATATTGGAATAGGGAGGATCCTCCAGATTCAGATTCACTAGACCATGTCTTACAACATCTTACAACAACGCTGGAGGGGGTGTCCCATGTAGAGTCTCGACAACATGAACATTCAATACCTGGAAGGATGAATTCACAGATGAAGGGAGTCGATTCTTTCTTCAAGAATGAGAGGATGGAGAGAGCTTGACGACCTCTCAATTCACTTCAACTAGCTGCGTGTAACTTTGATGGCTCTGCACAAAAAGACCAGGTGGAGAAATCGTTGCCACTGCAATGAACACTGCCTTTCAGGGGTTTCAATTCAAAGGAAATACTTGATATTACATGATAGTCGGGAAACTTTTTGTTTGATCCTCCATCATGTCATATACCTCCACCCATAGTTTTACAAAGAACATCTAATGTAGTTTCCCGACTCCCTCATTCCCTATCATTTGTTTAACAGAATCTTCTACCCATATAGTCCAACAAGAAAAGGACGCAGACTACAAGACACTGAGCACGATGCCAAAGAATATGGCCGCACCATCAATAGCACCAACAATGTTGCCCGGAATATTTGGGTGAAGGCTTTCCTGGTTTGTTATCTAGCACTCAACTACCTCAGATCATCTCAGATCTATTTCTAGTGAATTCTTTAATCCAGCACTGCTTGACCTCAGGATTAAGTATCCACTTGAGTCTGGAATCAGCTAGGGGGTAGGTGACCACCCCCAAAGGTTGAGGGCTCCTTTGTTATATAACCATTCCAAATACAAACCCAAAATACCCTCCGACTCACTGGTGAAGTGGAACACCGACCCATCGGATGAGTATACCCTTGCACTTCCATGTGATGTGTTCCAATGTGTTCCACGATTTCGGGGTCACGAAAACGGACCCGGGTCGAGTGGGGACCTCTACAAGAGACGGTTCTCAACCTGCTGGTCGTCCCCTCAGGCTCCATGCGCTCGCTTGGTCGAGCACATGTCGGTGTGCTGGCGAACGGAACGCGGTGACCTGGCGAATGGGAGGCGAACCGGAGTGTCTTCGCTAAGGACAACGTTAAGTGTTTAAATGGCCATCACTCAAGGCTGGGGTGTTTGCCGGTGCCTCCTGTTTCTCGCCCGCCCATCGGCAAAGTGCATGGGCCTCGGGCTTGGGAAAGGACATGCGTAGGTGAAGCTTACCCTGGGTACTCGTACCATTTTGTGCTTCAGAATCGTTGGAATCCTCTGCCCTTATGTACCTAAGAGTGATCCTGTTGAAGAATAGACTCAGGACGTATGGCAACATTTTTTCGAGCATGTGAGGCATGCACACAATATATCACGGTGTTATTCTTAGACCTTGGAATCAGTCGTTGCAGGGTCTTACATTACATATTCTAGAACCTATTCCTGACATGAGGCAAGATTCTGTTCGAATTGAGTGGCAACTTATATAGATCAAGAATGCATGCTCTAGAGACTCCAGAGGCGCTGAGGTGTGGTTAAGCTAATGCATTCAACCAGAGTCACTGCAGTAGTTTGCCGATGTTTGAGCCGGAGTCACCCAGACTTCTACCCGGTCAGTGCGGTGAGCCGGTGAGTGCGGCGATCTGTCGGTGGGGTGAAGGTCCAAAGCGTCCAAACTGAGACGATCGCAGCCCATCCCCATGTGGGAGAAGGAAACTGAAAGACGAGTTCCGGGCCTACCATATGGGCCCCTTTCGGCATCCAGGGGCCCGGCATCTTCTCGATTTTTTTATAGGGGCTGCTTTTAGGCATGGGGCGGGTGGTGCCTCGGGCAGGTCTGGTTTTTTGATTCTGTTGGAGGGCCTATTCTCTAGGTTCTTTTGTGTCCAGGGTAATCAAGTGATGTAGAATCTCGATCAATAAATAAAGGACAATTTTGGTTTTTAAACGCCTCTTCATACGGGGGGTTCATCAATCAAAACAATATACATTTATAAATTTAGATAATGTCTTTCATTCTTATGGGGAACCTCCTCATGGTCACAAAGGCAGAAGATGATAGAAGATGTATAGACTTATGACGCTTATGACGGGCCTGACCCAAATTCCCAACCCGTTCGCAGGACACGACCTGTTTCACTGGACCGAAGCAGGTCCAAGTCTTTCTGCCGAGACCGTCGAGGCGCATCCCAACTCCCCGATTCGGGACGAAGTTCTCCTGTCGTGGGGCTTCTTCTGCTCTTTATTTATGAGTCAAAGTTACCTATATCAAATGACAAAATGACATCGAATATGAATCACCTATATCCAGGGGAGACAACCATATTTTCGAAACCACTGGAAGGCTCCACATCCATGGAACACCGAGGCTCCACATCCATGAGGCCTCCAGTGGCCGTTGGGCCGGAGAGCTGCTGCTCAGTAGCCCCGCCGAGGGCTTCTGCGCCGGCGGTGGATATCTTTACTTCATGGCGTCTTGGGACGAATTCATGGGGAAGAACACGCAACACTGCAACACCTATCAAAGATGTGAAGATGAAGCCCGTCCTCAAAGCATCCAAAATATATCATTATCCCTTCTCCATCTAACACCCATGCCCCAAACCATGATTTTTCAGATGATCTTCATCCCAACTCCTGGGGGAGGTTGTCCCAGCGATACATCGAGAGCCGCTGACTGGATCCTACCATTGATACCTCTGAATCGAGAACCACGCAATGGCTGGATTCGATCAGGGGTGTACTGTTCCTTTCATGGTCACATGTTCAAGACCCTGGACATCCCAGGATCTTCTGTAACCTCAAGCTATACGGTAATCCAAAGGTTTACCCTGGAGCACTGAAAGCTCACTTCGTTGTCTCCTTTTTCCTGTTGCTTGAGGCTCAAGGCTGTGGTTCCTAGCTAGACATTCAGTGAAGTGAAGTCCTTTGAAGTTGTGGAAAGCGTTTCTATCTATTTGGGGCCCAAACCATCGGTGACTAGCGCTATCGATGCCAAGGAGGCTGGGCCCAGCCCTGGCTTTTGGCGAGTGCCCATCCCTCTGCACTTGAGCGAGCAGTTTCCTGCACAAGTCCAGTAGGCTTGGTCAGCTAACCAGGCCTATACGTTGTTCAGTCCAATAAGTTGTTGTTCAATTCAAGTCATCCAAATATTTGGACGTTGAACCAGAAGAGGTTGAGTGTTTTTGCGCCACCTTGGGTGGACTCAGCGACTGGACTCAGCGGTGTGTCATCACCGTGTTCGTGTTTCACCTTCTGTTCAGGAAGTTTGAACGCACTTACACTTCACAGATTAGAAGGGATATGTCCAGGCCAGTTGCCCTCAAAAGCGCCTGACCCAGGTCGGGGATTATGTCATTTGACCTCGGAAAAATTGCCGTTGACGGTCGCAATACTCCTGGTCCTATAGCCACGTTCGAAGGGATTCTTCACTCAGTCTACAATCGACAACGTGGTTCCGAAAGAAGGAGCCACCGTTCGGCGGCTGGCTTGGAGGCTTGGTGGCTGGGGTCTTTCGGATCTTTTGTCAGATGAATTTTATATGACTTGGTGACTCTTAAGGCTTTGAGGACGAAGACTCTTTGTCAAGATAATCTTAGATTTGGAGGACAAGAATGATGCACTGGTACCCAGCAAAAGGAGTGCTTGGATCGCAGTTCTTAAGGTCCCACGCCGTCCCACCTTCCTCAGTGGTGAGACACACCTGCTATTCATTGGGTATCCAATGAAGTGTGCAACAAGAATTCGGATGAAAACCATAAGGACGCCTGTTTCAAATCGGTTGCCCTCTTGTTTCAAATCGATCAACTGGACGTGCATCTTTCGGCAGTTCGGACGCTGTACCGGCCAAACTTCCTGGGACAGTCCCGCCACGTGGCCAACCTCGATGTACCGACTCAACCGCCAAACGCGTCCGGACGTGCAAAGTGACCGGTGGCGCGAACGGGCCAGGTGGTGCGAACGGGGCGAGGCTTGCTAAGCTGCACAGACCCCATCCAAGGGTGATCTCAGGACGCTACTAGGAGCTCCTGGCCTTACTAGTAGCTTCTAGTAGCAAGAAGCTACGAACGTAGCTATTTGCTACGAGTTTTGCGGCTGGTTACTAGTAGCGATGCCCGTGTTCCTAGTAGCTTCGTGTAGTGTGGTGCATGGGACACCACTTGGTTAGTGCAGGATCCGTCCCACAAGAACGGCTTTCAGACAATAGGCTTCAAGTGACCCACCTACCCACCTTCAGAGGTTGTTTCGGTGTGATGATGGTTGAATCTTAGCCGTCCTTGGAGCACCTAGTTCATTCACATTACAGTACTGTATAGTATAGACATATTCATTATTCAATCATCACCCTTTCATGTATAGTCAAAAAGGTGACATAGAAAGACAGGTTAATTCTGCTGGACACTACACGAGTCTAAATCAGCAGATGTTTTACACACTGAGCCAATATTACTCCAACTGTTTACTGGCTGAAATAGCTCAATAGCATGATTTCGAAGAGTTTCGGTGATCATACAGAATCATACAGTCATACAGGTCAAAACCACCTGCGCCTTTTGTAGATGAGCCGACCACTTCCTGGCTCGCGAGCTGGGGTTGCAGCTCGACACCTGGCTCCAGGCATGGTCGCCCTGGAGGCTGTGTGCAAGCACTTTGGCCGAGAGGCATCGTCGCACGCGTCACGCGCGCGTCGAACCGTCCGATGTGGCGCGTCTTCGCGCGTCTCGTGCGTCGGATCCACGCACGCTCCCGGTCGGACCCACGCGGACCCCTGGCGTGAGAGCCAGGCTGGTTTCAGATGGTTTCTCGTTTCCAGCGTGATGTAGACAAGACGAACGAATCTCCTAGCAAAAGAACGACATTTGCAGGGAGGTTATAGTGTGCTTACACATGCACCTCTAACCATCATATTTAAAAGCACTACCCATAGGTCATATCAAAGCTAGTCTTCACACCCCATGTTCTGTTTTTCTTTGAGGTGCACCCCGAATCGGAGTGGATCTACGCGCAGAAGGTGTGGAAAACCCAGTTCCTTCCCGCTGTCTGGGGGGTCACTGGCCGGGAGGATCCGTGTGGAGTCTGAGACACATCGGTTTTGGATGCCGTTGGATGCCTGTCATGAAGACTCATCGTTGCTTGACACAGGACTCTCAAGAATCATGAAGACAATTGCGAAAAAAGGACGGTCGTGCTGCTTGGATGCCAGAAACAGGGCGGTACCCACCAGGGATGTTTCAGCCGGCGAAGCATCGGTTCTGACCTTTGGAGATCTTAGAAGGCTGCATTCCTTTACAAGAGGCACTCTTCATACTGTTGATGGAAGAAATCCTGCACCACCTCACCACTGAACACGCAGGGTCGCAACCCCCTGTGCCCCATCATTCAATGTTGGCGCGGCGCCTCTGAGGAGGTGGTGCAGGATGTGGTGGTCCCAATGTTATCCAGGGAGAACCAGGGCAGCAAGAAAACTATGCGCAACGTGGTGCAGGATTTTGTCCATCAACAGTATGTCAAGTTTTCCTAACCTCCCCACACTGTTCGACTTCTTCGAAGTTCCAAGGTTTTGCAGGTCACCAAGTCATGTGCGAAAGAACTCTAGCGTTCTTTTCTGAACCAACGTTGCAAAATTTCACTGGTGGATCAAACCACCACATCTGACCAATGTTGGATCTTACTTAGCATCAAGCCCCCCCTACCAAACAATCCAGGGGGGTCTGAAGAGTCTCACTGCCACTTGATGTGGCCCACCACCTCCGACCATTGGACCATTGCTTCGCACCAGCCACCAGTCGAAGAGAGCGGTCCAGGAGCGGGACTTCTTCATGCACATGCACCTCTCCAGTGGCTTCTCTGAGCCGCTCCCGCAGGCGGAGCGCCCGCAGGATGACCAGACTGGGAGGACCAGACGCCACCACGGGATCAGACCAGACGCCCGCACGATGTTTGGTGCGGGGGGGTAACGATGGATGGGTGGATGAATGGATGAACACCCGTTTGGTGCTTGATCAATGAATTACGACCACGCAACCCAAGTGAGCTGCCGTCTTTCTAAGCTCAACCTGCCCAATTCATGCAGAACGGCCTCAGTTCATGCCGCCCAATCTGCGGCGAAACCAGCGAGACTCGCGAGACCACCGTTCTCACCGTGTCGGTTTCACCAAATCACAGACCCGGGAGGCGGAGCTTCCCGTTCATGGCGAGAACACTCTGAACTTCCTGACAGCCCCCTCCACCGCGAATGTCGGGAAGCCCGGGCGGGGTGTGAAGTCACAACTTGGATCCAGGGGCGGACGGCATGAATGAGTCAGGCACTGACTACTGAGCTCGAAGAAGGTAGGCTAGAAAGACTTGATCCCGTTTTTTCACCAGATCATCCTGGCAAATCTAGGTCGCCATCCAATTATTTCACCCGAAGGAGACTCTGATTAGATCTAGTTACCATGAAATATCCATGAAATATTGGTTGATCTCACACTTTTGCAGCAGACATATATCTACTTACCATGAAATATCCTCACATGTTGGTTGATCTCAAACTGTTGCAGGGTTTCTGCTGCTTGCAGTGGGATTTTGGAGGTTCCAAGGGGGTTGAGGCATGTTGAGAGGCCGGCGGTTGGGTGTGAGGAACGACCACACCAATCCCCTGGCTGCGCCGACAGGCGCGCTTCGCGCATCACCAACAGCTCTTGTGGAAGAAGCTCCGAATGGCTCAGGCCAGGTGAATAAGTGCAGAAGCGGTGAACAGGGTCTGGAGAAAGCAGTGGTCGGTGTTAGACCAAGTCACTCCCCAAAATAGATAATCTTCATCAGAAGGGGTGCTGTGAGGTGCTGGCCAAGGCCAGGTACTGTGTGTGTGTTAGTCACTACTGTGTGTGTGAGTGCCTGTTTGACAGGCAACCCAGGCCAGTTTAGGCCACAGACCTGGAACCTAGCCCCTTGGCTTGCGTAAGTGAGACACGGAGAGAGAGAGAGAGAGAGAGAGAGAAGAAACAAGAGAACAAGAACAAGAAGAAGAAGAAGAAGAAGCAGAAGAAGAAGAAGAAGAGGAAGAAGAGGAAGAAGAGGAAGAAGAGGAAGAGGAAGAGGAAGAGGAAGAGGAAGAGACAGAAGAAGAGGGAGGCTTAGACAAGAAAGGGCAAAGAGAAGGAACCAAGGAGTGAGGGCGACAGAGAAGGAAAGAAGAGAAAATAAGAAAGAAAAAGAGAGACACAGAGAGAAAGCCACCTAAGGAACGGGTTCTCTTGTGTTTACTTGCTGGCTTGGCTGGAGCCAAGGAGAACTTCCAGGTGCTCTCACCCACTTGGCTGAGCACAGAACTAGGAACCTAGAAAAGACACAAAACACAGAAGTAGAAACTTAGACACCCAACACTCAGACACCTACCAAGAGTACCCACAATTACACACACAGGTTTCAATAGCACAACCTAGCTGTTGTTTCTAAATCTGTGTCTTCGTCCTTGATTTCTAGAAAGGTGCCCTAGAGGTGCTGTTGGACTACACAAGCTGTTGTTACTTTCAGAAGACTACTCAAACGTGTTGATGTTTTCCAAGCCTAATAATCAATATTTACGAGATAATAAGCTGTTGCTTGGACATGTTCAACCTATTATAAATGCAACCATGTTAAAGGCAGCCATTGTACACACTGTGCAGTTTAATTAATTTGTACCCGGGCAATTAATGAATTCACGAGGGTGCCCCCCAAAATGAAACACTATATATAAACTTAACACATATATATACACGATATATATATATATATAGTTTAGTTAATTTACACACAATTGTTCTCAATAACCATTGATGCATATTCACATAACAATCGAAAATATATCCTGGTGTCCCTGAGACAGCCTGGCACATTCATGCTTAGCTCAACTGTGAATCCTTCACGCGCATGGAACAGGTTGGCAGCTTGGTGCCCACATTTGGCAGGCATTGCTCCAACTCAACCTGTCAAACATTGAGCTGCATCCTTTCCCTGGCCTTGAGCCAAGCAGTCAAAACCGCTTGGCAAAACTCAGTCGTGAAAGTTGCCGAGCTGGCAAGATGCTTCCCTCCTTGCCAGCCAGATTTGTCAGCAAAGCTCATCATTGTGGTCAACATAATGCAGGTGAAAAAGTCATGTCTACAAAATGAAGAAACGACATGCCACAACATGTTTAAAGCCACAGTCACAGCAAGCCGCCTTAAATCTTTTCTTGGTTGCCTTCTTCATCCTCCATGCCAAACTCCCAGCTTCCCTGAAACAGAGTCTGAACGATATAGAAATATTTAAGTCTATTTGTACTTGTTCATGGATTTCATTTCATTCTGTCATTCTTCGCATTTGATGCTTGGAAAGGAAAAACAGGGGGGTGCATCCTTGAATTTAATAGAGAAAATCAATACGTTTGGAACGAGAAAACGAGAGGGTGCACCCTTACATTTTGTAGTGATGCCAAGCTCGCAGCATCCCAAAGATGCATTTGGTTAGGTATATTTGGATTCTTGTCATTTGGTATAGAAATATCTTGGACCAACCGTTTTGTACTACTGAATGAGGGTGTCTCAGGATCACCCATTGAATTTCAAGGGGGGTGAACATATTAAAATTGACATTATATAATGGTTTCTACTATTTCCTTTTCATGTTGTATAAGTATGTCATTTTGATACACATATGTATGCTTATTATATATATATATATTTTTTTTTTAAAAAATATATATTGTATATTTGTAAAACATATAAGTTATATAGATTCATATTTGTCTTTATGTTAAAATATGTATGTTTTAAACAATTGTTGAATAGATTTAAACACATTTACATTATAAGAAATATTGAATTTAGGAAAAATACATTTTACAGGAACATAGTCGTATATCATGTATGTTCTATTAAGAACTTGTTTTACAATGGTTAAAATTGATAATCACACCATATAAACCTTTGAATAACTAATACCATAATTGTTCCCAACTGTTCTAGGTATGTGTTTTTAACTGCTTTTCTTTTTAATCAATGACGAATTTATGTATAAACACTTTGCATGATTTCCGCCATAGTTTTAAGTATATATATATATATATGAAAACTTTGAACATGTTCTTTTATTCACATAAAGGAAAGATACCAATAACTGTGAGTTAACATATAACTATATGGTCATTATTTCTATACTTGGAATCGTATGTTTAATACAATATTATTAATAGCGTGGTTTTGTGCATGCAAAGACACTGGCAACTAGGCCAAAACACACTTTGGTTGCCTTCACGAAACATCTGAACTCTGAAAAGCGAACCTGAACAAATACAACATACAACGCTGAGGTGAGTGCAAAGCGTTTCGGTCTAAGCCATATGCCTGCAACAAGAAGGGCGTCAAAGGTATGATGAAGTGAGTAGCTGAGAGAATATACTTTCGTGTGAATGCTGTGACCATACAGCAGACTTGCACCTCACGTTGTTGAATATAACATGCTGACTGACCACATCTTGCTTTTATCCAAAACATGTGCCAACCATCTGTTTGCACTGGACCTTGCTGCAGATAACTTATTAGCACACATTCTAGCTGTCTACTCAATAAGGGTGTTCCTACCTAGTTCCCAGCACTCCCAGGGCAAGAAAACATGGTAAAACATTGGGTCTTGTAGCTAATTGTTTATTTACTCCCCCAGCACATGAAATGATCCTTTGGGATTTCCAGATTCTTTGGTGGACTCGTTTCCTCAGTTGCTAGTCTTTTGGGTTGTTGGAAGGTTGTTCGTCCATGATTCGTTTTTTTTACATTGAAAGAATAGAATACCTGCTTCAGTAAGACCTGATTTGTGTAAAAGCTCTGGCCTCTACAAAAAGCAGACGTTCAATTTCTCAAAATGTTGCTTCCAGGCGGAGAATCCTCGACCAGGCTCCCCAGGTGGGGAGAATCGGGTGGAGCTTTTCGGCCAGCCCAGTCGCGGAAGGGTGTCCTTTGACTGGATATGACTGGAGTCCGTGTTTGGTTGATGTTGGTTGAGTTTGGTTTTGGTTGGTTGGTTGGTTGGTTGGTTGGTTGGTTGTGTTTAACTGTCCACACCCTAGCTCATGCCCAAAAAACTGCAGGGGTGGGTGGAGTCCGTCTTCAGACTCCTGTGCTGAAATCTCTGTGCTTAGACCTTTGACACTTCCGGTCAGACCTTGAGGTCCCTGCGTATTTTGGTCTCCTCGTCTCAAAACATGAAGCTGCCCACTGAAAAACACGACCACGACCACTGAGGAGCGCCTAAAGACCACGAATCAAACGAATTACCACCTGTGTCACTCCCGCTACATTCCGACGAACACATCACATGGAAGTGGACAATCCCTCTGTTTGTACAGACAAAATCTTCCAAGAAACCATTTTCCAGTTCCATGTTAGTGTTGGAATGTACTCATTTCCTGTCCAAGGATCTCCAGAACGCATGTTTATTTTGTGCTCAAACGGCGGCTAGGACTTGGGGTACTTGGCTCAGTGGTTGATGTACTGCAATGTACTGTACAACTATAAATCATTGATGATATATAGTGTCCCAAATCTTGCCAAGCTTGCGGCTTAGAATTCCCATCGTGAGATTGGGTAGATGTGTTTTGTTGCTCTAACCTGGACAGCGCCAAGCCACACCAGAATCATGATACAGTGACAGTGTTGTTCAATCCATTGCAGCGCGCAGGTGTTGCCCAAGGAGTGCCGGAAGTCAACCGAGCAGTGCCGTTTTTTTTTTCTTTGTTTTCTTTCGAAACAGCCAAATCAAGAGGCCCAGAACTACGGTATGTCCTAAGTGTTCCACTTGAGGACCTATGATATTTTTGGGCGTTTGAATGGGGAGACCCTCCCTCAACCCAATTAATGAACCAATGCCTTTTGGTCTTTTTTCCTTAGTCCAGGCTCTGAGGGGTTCGTGCCCACCCATAGTCCGAGCAGAAGAGTCAATTTCAAGTTCTTGATAGACACAACCCAAAGAGGGCCGCTAGCGAACATTGATTGCCTGAGCACGTCTTGTAGAGTGCTTCGCTTTTCCAACCTGGTTCGCTTTTCCAGCCCCCTTATAAACCAGGCGAAACAGCACCATACAACAGCAAGGCAGTCGTGCCTGGTCCAAGTCGCAGCAAATGGCCGAGGGGGGGTGCTTGGTGTCGAATGAGGCACACCGACGTCCATAGGTCCGAATGACACAAGCTGAAGCCTGGGCCCTGAACCCGAAACAGCGAAACTGTTGATATAACATGAAGACATTGGGGGATATGTCTTTGTTCGATTGAGGTTGATTGCGGTCAACCATTTTGGTATATATCTTCTTTTTGCAGCTTTGTTCTATAGTCTATACATTGGTACGCCACTTGAGCTTGGATAGATGAGCCAGTGCACGTCAGCCATCAGTCTCAATATTAGCTTGAAGACTTTCAGTTGGGTACAGTATATTTGGTTCATAGCGACCGCAAGATGCAACTGCTGGTCTCTGTGGGGTTGTAAACAACTCTGGTGCTTTTGGGTCAGTGCTGGGATTTGACATTGAGCCCCGAGCTTTGCAGCAAATGTTGCTTTTGAACAGGGCGTTCAAAACGAGGAGTTTTTCGCATGAGGACGAAGTCACCAGCATTCCACACATGCCGAAGCATTCCACAAATGCGCCAGCATTCGCCCAAGCGGTACATAAGCAACCAAAGAAAATGGGTGGGCTTCCAGTTCTTGCCCAACTGCAAGGGTAGCAGCAACCCTACAAGCAAAGAGGTAAACTTTGTACATCTTCTGACATTCCCCCTCCCTCTCTCTCTCTCTCGGCTTATCTTGGTCAGGAGAGAACCCACTGGCAGCCTCTTGGTGTGCCTGAAGGGGGGGCTTCCCTCAGAACTCTGGGCGTCGCAAATAAACAACAAAAACCACTCAGTCAGATAGGGGATGGCTCATGACTGGAAGCCTCACAAGCTGAGAGGCTAACAGCACCTTTTCACTTCGATTGGGTTCTACATTCGGTGGCAGGAACTTCTCGTAGCTTCACAGAAGAGGTTGCTCTACTAGAGATCCAGAGCATTCCATTTCGCAGTATTTTACCAGACGTCATGCCGCTTGAGCTGTTTGGTGTACTATAATATGTTTGAACGCTTGCTTCCTTGAGCCCCTTTCTTCCAGAAAGTCACCGCCTTTGACCAGCTAAGGCTGCGGAGGAGATGTCCCCCACGGCGGAGCCTGAAGCCAGGACCCCACGATAAACCCCCTTGGACCTGGTCGATGGATCAGATGGCTTTGACCTGAGATGGGCCCACTTTCTTGCTCTCTACAGACGCTGAATTCCTCAGCCTATTCCACAGGTCTATATCGGTACTCAAAGATGCACTCAGCCAAAGAAAGAGGACTCCGTTGGTTTTGCTCCGCGGCTGATAGGCTGCCTCACCGTGAGATCTTTAAAGGTATAGAGTATGGGTCTTTCTCAGATGACTGTACATGAATGCATCATTTCCTCGAAGCCATCAATTGGTCAGGCTCTCAGAAGGACTCCGCAGGTGTTTCCCCGTGACTTTTTCCGAGAAGAAACGCATCCATGCCATGGAAAGGTATCCCCTCAACCGGTTTTATCGGGGTTTCATTTCGTGCCAGAGCAAAAAGAACACACACAAAAGCATGTGTTCACGTTTTTCAACCTCTGGCAGCGACCCTTCTGCAGGGTTTTGTTTCATCCCAGTGACTATAGTTTCCTTTTCATGTTCTTATTTTCTCCCCAGCTTGCTTTGTGCATCTGTGCATCCAAACGACCCTTCTTTCGGAGAAACCCAACGACCAAAACCGTGGGTCACCCGTGGGGCTTCCCCACCGATCGGCGCCAGGAGAGGACGTTGCGAGGCCTCTCCGGAGGAGACGCTTCGACGGAGACCCCCTATCCTTTTGAGCCGCTTGGACGGCGACCCAAAGGACGAGAGTGGAGACAGGTGATGACAGGTGGAGACGTCCGCTTGGGGAGAGATCGAACTGAAAGGAGCATGGATCCTGTTCTTGGGGGAGCCTTGTTTTTGGAGGAAGGAGTGACCAGGTTAAGGTCCTTTCTTGACTGCGAAAAAACCGGGGCTTCTTTGCACTGTAAATCAAGGATAAAAAACATGCTTGGAGGGCAGAAGAAGGTTTTGTTCGACGAGGTGCGGAGTCACTGAAGGTCCGCCACTAGATTGATAGAGGGTCGGACGCGGGGGGCTGGCCCTGTTGAAAGCTCCATGTTTTCGATAGAGACTTGGAAACTGTGGGCCGATCATGACCATCCCCAATTGGTTCCTACCATAGACTTTGTCCTATTTCGTCCAATACTCATATCGATCCTGATTAATCGTTTGAACCCACACACCTATGACAGCCTCCGGACGCCGCTTCTGACCGGAACCCCCGCTCTTTTGGACGGAAGAACACATCACTCACAGTGTTCGCATTCTTGGTCTTGGTCAGACGAGGTGCTTCGAAGGCAGATGGGTACGCGGCGCGTGCGGGGCCGGAAACCCTCAACCCATCTCGCGACTCTGCAGTCCGCTGTTGGGATCTCCACCGCGACTTCCATCCACTCAGTCCACGGGGCCGTGCAGAGTCTGGCGTGCGATCCGCAGAGGGGGCCTTCATCTCTGCTCACTCCGAGGCGCCAATTCCAGAGTCTTCCAAAACTGCACCACTGAGGCGGGTTCGGGTCGGAAGAGCTGAGAGGATGTCGGATGTGCACTGCACATGTCGGTCACTTTTTGGTGGTGGTTTCTTTGGTTTAAGCGTTGTCTTACTGATCTTGGAGCAGACGAGAGGTTGTGTTGAACCTCCAAAATTTCCACATGAATCCCCTTTGGGCTTCACTTCCGTTCTGGCACGTCCTTCGAACACCCCAGCCTTCCGCCCGGTGGAACAAGCCGAGCCCGCCCGCCGAGCCTTGCGCGGGCGGTTGGGACTCGAGCGAGCCAGGTGTGCTTGAACGAGCGCCGAGCAGTGAAAGAAGCCAAGTCGAAGGCCGGTCGCCCGCAGCACTCGAGCGGTGCGTGGCGCGTGAGAGCTGAAGAGCTCTCCCGGAGGGAGCCTTTTTCTGGTTCAGCTCGAAAAAGGACTTTTGGATGCGAAGTAGACACATGTTACAGACTATATATATATTTGTATAAACAGATATGTATATATATATATATATGTGCGAGAACAAAGCATTCCAACTCATGACCATGCATAACACATGCAAACCGAAGACCCTTTTGAGCGGATCAAAGAGCTCACGCATGGTAGCGGAGCTGTGAGGGACACTCCTAAGGTTTGTCCTGAGCTCCAGAGCTCTGACCGGGGACCGAAACCTATCCCCTCGCGCCCCAGTTCCACTCGCTTGCCGTGCCACCATAAACTAGTGTTTCATTTGCTCGCACTCATTGCTTGAGATTACGTGGTCACGGAGCGAGGAGAACACCTTGGACTACCACTTTGCCCACATCCAGTTGAAGAAGGAAGTTATTGAGGTCCAGGAAACGGAACCACATCCTTGTGCCCGAGGCTGTCCAGGAGCCAGAGAGGGGAAAGGTTGGAGCCTTTTGCATCCAGGCCGAGATGGACGGGTCTGGACCTACAGGTTTTGAAGATTTGACACAGGCCTTGATTGCAACAGCCCAAGCAGCAACTCAGGCAGTCCAGACAGCTACATCGACAGGGTCTGGTGCAGGGACTTCGACCGGAGAGTCCAGTGGTCTTTTGAAGAAAGATCTAGCCCGTTTGATTCCAAGACCTTGCATTTTCCAACCCACTGATAGGGAGCAGGAGATTCTTCAGTGGAGGGACTGGTTTTGGAGCATGAAACAATATTTGGTGGTAGTTGACAGCGCCTACCAGGACGAGATGGAGAAGATTGAGGAGAAGAGTGGAGAGGAGATCGAATGGTCATTCCTCACTGAGAAGGAGCAGGAGAGGGCACGCTTCCTGTATAGCTTGCTTGGGAGCTTGATCCATGGGCGATTGGTCGGACTGATCAAGAACGTGCCCCACTACAATGGATTTGAAGCGTTGAGACAGTTGATACTCAATTGCCAACCCCAAGCTCGAAATCGAACAATGAACTTGTTGCAAGGCATCATGGCCTATCCGAGCTTTAACATGAAGCTGTCCATTCTGCCCCAGCTGTTGAAGTTGGAAGAGCACTTCACACGGTATGAACGACTGGGAGGAAAGCTACCACCAGATATGAGGGCTGCAGTTCTTCTGAAGGCTATCACTGGTCCCCTCAAGGTTCACCTCAACATGACGTTGAACGAGGGCAGTTCCTATGCCAAGATAAGAGAAGCAGTGCTGGCCTATGACACAGCAAATACGAAGTGGAACGAGTCCGCAGCGCTGAGCTTTTCGAGCACGAGCCCAATGCAGTCCAATTTGAGCGACATCAATGGACCTGCCCCGATGGAGGTGGATCGGTTGAAGGGAAAAGACAAAGGAAAAGGGAAGACCAAAGACCTGAAGGGCAGCAAGGGCAAGGGCAAAGAGGAGAAGGGCAAGTCCAAGGGAAAAGGGGGAAAGGCTGTTGCTGGTCCTAAGAGTGAAGGAAAAGGAAAAGGTGGGAAAGAGAAAGGAAAGGGCAAAGGGTCGACGGAGACCTGCTGGACGTGTGGACGCCCAGGGCATCTGGCAAAGGACTGCTGGAGAGTCCGGCAGATTGAAGCTCCAGCGTCAAATGCCCCATCAAGCCCACCTACAGTGTCACCAAGCACTACGACGTCAATCCAGCCGGGGAGCGAGACCACGCTCAAGGCGGTGAGACGAGTTTCACAACCCCTGATCTTCGACTTGAGGAATTATGAGGAGAGCAGTGGGTCAATTCGAATGCTGCGAGAGGTTGGAGAGCCGAAGAGAAGAGCAGCAGTTGAGTTCTACAACATCGCGACAGACGATGAGGAGGACTATGAAGGTGCTTTGAGGGTGAATGCCATCTATGAGGTGCCACTTGAGGAGGAGTACCAGGTGGATGAGGATCCAACCGGCGGTGGTGATGGAGTGATGGCAACGATCATCATCGATTCAGGAGCAGATGCTTCAATCTTCCCAGGCCACATGTTGAAGCAAGGCCGGAAAGCTCGTGGAATGTCGCCGTATCTCCAGGATGCCCAGGGAAGGGCAATGAGAACCTATGGGCGCAGAGACATCGACATTGAGCTGAAGGCGGAGGACGACAGGCTGGTGGTGTTGAAGGAAAGGGTGACATTCAGTGATGCGGTGTCTCAACCTATCCTTTCTTTTGGCCATCTTCTTCGGTCAGGATGGTCAATCAGTGGAGAAGAGAGATGTTTGGTCAACGGAGAGGTGAAGGTGCCCATTGACCTGCAGAACCAAAGCTTGGTCGTGCAAGGACAGATTAGGAACGTGGCCTTGGCGAGCTTCGTGAGAGCCTTGAAGGTCACTTTGGGAGAAGGCCTGAAGAAGATTGAGATGGATCAGTTGGGATGGAAGCGCCATGGGGAAAGATGGATTGGCGTGCATCGTGGACAGCACTTCCAGAGTCCGAGCCGATCCACAGTGGTCAAGAAAGGTGACCAGTGGCAGCTCGTAGAGATGAGTGAGCCGGTGGATGGACTTGAAGACCAGGAGGAAGAGATCGAAGAGTTGAGAGGTGAGTACATGGCAAAGATCATCACCTTTGTTGCGCATTCCACAGCATCCCAAGCACCAGAGGATCTTGGCTTTGAGGTTGAAGGGTTTGACTATGAGGCCTCAAAGAGGAGAAGAGCAGGTGAGGACGACTATGCCATCCCGATAGCCGACGATGAGGGTGAGCTTGAGGCGATTGAAGGACGAGAAATTGAAGGACCTGTAGGTCCCGGAGGAGTTGATCTTGGGGACCAACAGGTGAGGTTCGAGGTTGGAGTGGCCATCCGCGAAAGAATCCAAGTCAATGGGGTGGAGCTTTCGTTGGATAGCCCTTTGCGCACCCTTCGAGCTGCATGTGCCTTCTACCAAGTCGGGCAGTCAGGCAGCAAGCGCAAGTGTTTTAGCCGTTTGGTTGAACATCAAGCCCGACTGGAACTCCTACAAGCTCGGGACCTCGCTCGTCACGCCCAAGAATTACAAGGTCGAGAGCCAAGAGAGCAAGCATTTGCAAAGGAGCCGAGCGAGGAGGAGAAGAGAAGACATGCTCTCACTCACGCCCCGTACGCACCTTGGTGCTCAGCCTGCATCAAGCATCGAGGACGACCAGATCCCCACAGGCGCACTGGGAAAGCTCGGGAGTCAGGACCCGTTGTGTCATTCGACTTTTCCTACACGAATGCGCGGGGAATCGGGCCGCTTGGCGCACCGGAGGAGGGTGACCAGGCCCAGATTGGCGTGCCGGACGAAGGAGGAGCACTTTGGCTGATTGCAGTGTGCTCGGAAACGGGCTATTTGATGGGCCTGCCACTTCGATCAAAGAACCAAACAAGCCTCATTGCCCACGAGATGCTCGCCTTCACCCAACTTCTTGGCCATGAAAAGGTGACGTATTACGCCGACAATGAGCCTGCCACTCGTCAAGTGTTGAAGTTGCTGGTACAAGCGAGGACAGCAATTGGTTTGGAAACCCACATGAGGACTACCAAGCTGTACGATTCCTCAGGCAACTCCCTTGCAGAGAATGCAGTCCAGAGGATCAGAGGAGTGGCAGCGAGTCTCATGGAGGAGGTTGCGACACAAACTGGTTTGCGCTTTAGTGCACAACACCGTTCCAGGCCACACAAGGGACAACCAGCTATGAACTCGTCTATGGAAGACCCTATGAAGGAAAGGTTTGCCGGTATGGGGAAGTGGTCCATGCCTATGTCAAGCCAAAGCAGGGTTACAAAGCAGATCCCAAGTGGAAGATTGGCATATGTCTTGGGAAAAGTGAAGCCCAGGATTGCTGGATCATTGGAGATGGCAGTCGAGTCTTCTTGAGTCGATCAATCCGAAGGGTAGAGCAGTCTTGGCAATCCTTTCTCAGCTGCTTCAAAGCATTCAGTGCCTACAGCTGGGAGTACCAGACCAACTTCGGAGGAAGAATCGTGCCGTCAAAAAGGTTGACTGCAGTGGTGGAAGGACCAGCGGCATCACTCCCAGTGGAAGACCTCGAGAAGTTGGCAGAGGAAGACAAGGAGGCCTACGAGGTGATCACCTTTGCCAGGTCCTACGCTGGGAAGATTGACCAACGAAAAGATGATGAGGAGGTGGAGAAGTCGAAGGCCAATGAAGAAGAAGAAAAGAGGATTCGTGAAGACAAGAAAGTCAGCTTCAGAGAAGAAGATGCTGGGTTGTTGGAGATGATTCCCATTGCTCAGGTGCCTCCCCTCATAGATGAAGAGAACAATCAAGCCGGACCTTCAAGCGTACGGCAACCGGCGAGTCCAAGAACCACAGCACAGAAACAGGCGACTACAGAGGAAAGCTCTGAGCAGGGCTCCAAGAAGTTGAAGCCCACGGTAGAAAAGCCAGTTCACGGCTTAGAGATGGAGAGTCCTGAACCAAAGAGGGCTAAGCCGGATGATGTGCAGCATGTGGAAAGGAGGATTGCAGCCACCCAAGTTGGAGGTGATGTGTTTTACCACAATGACAACATTTGGGACGAAGATCTCATCACTTGGAATGTGGAGGAGGAAGAAGAGGAGGTACAGCCAGGAGGAGATGTGCCCAAGGAGTTGTGGTCAACAGCTTCTCTGGACCGTGTACCCCCTGATCCTCCTAAATGGGTGGATGACCTCGCAGACAGGGTTGAGGAAGAGAGGCTGCAACGAATGGGAGTACTTCGGGCGATGAAGGGACCTTTGACGGGCCACAAGACTCTGACCACCAGGTTTGTGCATGATTGGAGAGCAAAGCCCAGGCCTGAAGACGGAAAGAAGCAGTGGCTCAGGAGGTCGAGGATGGTTGCCCGAGAGTATGCCTTGGAGAGGAATGATGAGGTGCATTCTCCAGCAACAGGTGGACAGACCTTGCGGTTGCTTCCACTCATCTACCTCATGAAGAAGAAGGAGGAAGAAGCTGGCGGAGAGAAGTATTGGCTGGGAAGCTTGGACGTTAAGGACGCCTTCCTGCAAGTTGATCAAGCAGTGCCTACACAACTCAGAACTCCCAATGGACACTTTGAAGTACTCAAGAACCTGCCTGGCCAACGCATTGGAGCAAAGGCTTGGTATGAGTGCATCACATCGTGGCTGGGAGAAAGGGGATTCGAGTTCGCAGAGAAAAAACCCGTGTTTGGGCAGGCGCAACGATAACATGATGCTTCTAATCCATGTGGATGACGTCATGTTTGTGGGAAAGGAGTCATATGTGAGTCAAGTTTTTCTGCCTGCAATACAAGCTCGATTTGAGATCTCACAACAGCACATCGAGAAGGAGAATGACCAGATCCAGTTCCTAAGAAGGACCTATGAGCTTGTCAATGAGGCGGAGAACCCCACCTTGCGAGTCTATCCAGGCACGTATGCAGAGGAGATGGTTGAAAAGTATGAGGCTGTGATGGGAAGAGTGAAGACTCAACAGCTTCCTTGCGGACAGGAGATGCTAGAGCCAGATGGAACTTCACCATTGGGGATTGAACTGGCAGGTTTATATCGCTCATTGGTCGGACGTGGCATCTACCTGAGCCAGGAGAGGATGGACATCAGCTTTGCGGTGAAAGAGCTGGCATCAAGCATGGCATGTCCTACGACAGGAAGTCTCAAGAAGCTGGCAAAGATGATTGGCTACCTGAAATCCACGATTGGCCAATATGGAGTCCTTGAACTGGAAGAAGCAGGCCATGGATTGGTTACACGATGTGATACCTCAAGATGGTTGCTGGAGACTTTCTCGGACAGCGATTGGTCAGGATCGAAGAGTCACCGCAGATCCACAAGTGCGGCTATCCACATGGTGAATGGCACGGTGGTGTTTTCTAGCCCTAGAGGACAGAAGTCTGTCAGCCTGAGTTCGGCTGAGGCAGAGCTCAATGCACTGGTTGGAGCCGCAGCTGATGGTATATACCTCAAGAGATGTTTGGAGTTCTTGGTGGGAGAGAGTGTGACCCACCATTGCCTGGTTGACAACTCTGCAGCCCTACACCTATGTCATCGGAAAGGACCTGGACGCCTACGACACAGAGCAGGCAAGTTGTTGTGGGTGCAGGACTTGGTGGCGCAGGAGGAGCTCAGGGTGAAGTCGGTTGGAACAGTATACAATGTTTCTGACTTGGGGACAAAACCCCTGAGCAAAGCACGGATCCAGTTGATCCTTTACTGGTGCAAGATCAATAACAAGGAGCACCAGAGGCTGGGAGTGGATGAGCATCAACGAGTGGCTGATGGTTTGGTCAACAAAGGAAAGATCAACAGGTTGGCCAAGTTGCTGAACAGAATCTTGTTGCTAGAGGGTCTTGAGCAGGTGGCCGGGAACTCTATGGATGAAAGCAACACCTGTCTGGCGGTTGAAGAGAGATCAACGAGCTCTATGACAGGATGGGTGATTGGCCTCTTGATCCTGATGATCATCCTCCTAGCTGGTGTTGTCTACTGGCTCTGGAAGAGCTTGCGAGAAGTGAAGGAAGATCTTCATGAACTTCGGCAGGACTGCAAGACAGATGGAATGATGATCAGCGCCATCGATTATGAGGTGAAGGAGTCAGAGAGGAAACAAGAAGGTGTGAAGGAAGCAGTGCAGACGCTGGCCGAGTACATCCAAAAGGTCCACAGAGGACTTATCAAGATTGATGGGTTCGTGGATGACACAGAGATGAAGGACGAGGATTGGCAGCATTGGGACTACCTGCAGAAGTCCAACCGGAATGCAAATCTGCAGAAATTGAAAGCCCAAGCAAAAGAGCTGCTGATACGGAAGTGCAATGAAGACTTTGAGGACGAGTCCATCAATTTGATAGCGATGTTCCCACACAATGTCCCAGAGGAAGAGACGACAGAGGGTGAAACAGCACTGGTACAGTTGGAGTCAGGGCAGCTTGTGCACATCTCCACCGAGTACCTGGAAGTGAGGGAACCAGAAAGTGATCCTGAGGATGAGACAGAAAGAGATGCAAGAAGGGCAGAGAAGAAAAGAAAACATGATGAAGAGATCGAACGGATCAAGCGCTTGAAAATGGAAGATCTTGGAGACCTTGACCTACCTGAAGGCCGATCAGGCCTACGAGCGAAAGAGCACATGAATCAGCTCCACGACCATTGGGTGGCAGCTGACGAGCCGGAGACGTAGAAGGTAGGGTCATGGTGTACAGGAAAATGGAGGTACACCGGAAATTTCTGGACAGTGCCGCTTTGACGTTCTAGGGATGGGAACTACAGCTCCAATCCCTAAGGAGGAGTGCGAGAACAAAGCATTCCAACTCATGACCATGCATAACACATGCAAACCGAAGACCCTTTTGAGCGGATCAAAGAGTTCACGCAATATGATAAGATTTAGCAATGACTATACAGTATAGCTGGCTTTCTGTGTTTGGGAGGTGTACTTGAAACCTCCAAGTTCAAGCACTTCCTTGGGAAGCCCATTGTGGGGGATGAAAAGGTGACTGATGCAGGATTCTGGGCATGATCCTTCCTTTTACTGTGTTCTGTGCACCTGGATGGACCAAGTCGATGCACACTTCAATGCACAATGAATCACTTACTGGCTATTTGAATGGTGTCCTAGTTACGGTCTGCCTGTGGGAGTCATTGACATCGAGACCACGGATCTTTTACACCCGGCTGCAGGACCTCATAGCCCAGTAGTTCTCCTCTGACGGACATGACAGCACCAACAATGCATTTCAAAACATCCCAACAAACAGACCAACAAAAACAGAACAACAAATTAATTGGACACACAAACCACACACACATTTGTGGATATGCGTCCTGACTTGACAGCGGTGCCACACGCCGGCCTAGGGTACCATTTCCTAAGGGTACACGTAAGAACCACTGGATCCTGGAGGTCTTCAAGAGGAAAGAGGGCCAAACTCGCAAGTCGAAAACGAAACGACAGGGTGACGACGTAGCGTGCACATCTGCAGAGTCAACAAAATTAATTGGACACACAAACCACACACACACCCAAACGCATTAACATTGGTTCTCTTCACCACATCCCGTCCGTGAAGAATCTTCTCCACATACAATTTGGAGATCAATACTGCCACATAGGTAACCTATCCGTTCGGTTGGATGTATCTTCGTTCGGGCGCCGCTGCGCAGTCCGCTCTCATTCGCTCCGTGCTCAGCATCCGATGGGCGCGATGATCCGGGAGCCCCTGGTGACCCCGAGAGATCAAGGCGACTGCTGGGAGAGTCTCGGGAGTCATGGCACCTCACCCTTCAAACCCTGGTTTCGGTTGAAAAACCCCGAACGTGGAGGGATTTGGTATGCCCGGGTATATCATCGCAAGATAACGGGTGTTGATCCACCGCCATGTGCAACCATGCATCGAAGGAAACCAACCTGAGCAACTTGGTTGGGAGTCCAGGAGCTAAGCTGTTTGGAACTTTCGGATCAACCTAAGAGAATGTTTCTCAATCAACCGATGATTTTTGAGGTGAATTCAACATTGATATCTCAAGGTCGAAGCCAAGCGTTCTTTAAGGCTATTTTGTTACCCAACCCTGCTGATGACTTGTTGGTAGGACTCGCACGAGTTCTTTTCACTGGAAACTGAGGTCTCTGAATGAAATGGCTTTGCAGTTGTTTGCCGTCTACTAGTCTACTAGGGGCCTGGGAACCCTCGTCTTTCACAATTGAGGCCAATGAATATTCATGCTTTGTCTCATTTTCTTCTGTCAGGCATTCATTAGGGTGCACAGGGTACCTGCAGCTGGCGCTGAAAGAATTTTGGCGACCACGGAAAGATTTGACAGTTATGAACAACCTTTTGACTGGACACCGACTAATCAATGACACTGCTGATTGCCCAGTGTGAACTAGAGCCTTTGTTATTGAAACCCAGTCAAAATTATGTGAACTCTTTGTCAACAAGAACCTGATATGACCTACATTCTCTCTCTGTCTGAACTACATGAACTGCATGTCAGGCTTTGAGGCTTTGTGTGAATTGGCTATCTCGTTGTGAATCCAACACACAGTGATAGAGTTTCATTTGTAGTTCAAGCAGCAGGATTGCTCAAGTAGAGGTCGCTTACAGAAAGAAAACACAGCAGGATTGGAGCTTCTCTCCTGAAAAATTACACTTTTCGTTCTTCTTAGGTTCTATGTGTCTAGTGGTAGCCTTGTAGTTACCTCTTGTGAAGTTCAGCGATTTTCACCATTCTCTATCCAATGGGCCAACGGCCACTTGTGGCGTCACCAGGCAAAAAAAAGAACACCTTGCCTTCCGCAGCTCCGAAACAGAATCGAAACTGGAGAGGAACGCCAGCCTCCAGCGATGGCCTCCAACCTACTAGCGATGGCCTCCAACCTAGTAGCTTCTTGCTACTATATAGTAGTAATGCCCTTGTTACTAGTAGCGATGCCCTTGTTACTAGTAGCTTTTTATAGCAATGGCCTCCAACCTAGAAGCGAACGCCACTCCATGCTCCCCCTCGAAAAACATTGAAGAACACGGCCGCAGCTTGCGAGCGGAGGACTCAGCAAGAGCTTTGCGAAGCGGGCCTGGCAGAGTGTGGCTACGGCGGTGAAAGCGGCCCGGGCGATGGAAAGTGCCGGCCGGGAAGGCCACTTGGAGAGGAGATGCGGAGCGCAGCTGGGCGGGTTTGAGGCTTTTGAAGTACGTAAAGGTTGTGCAACGTGAAAAGAGAAACGTGAACCTTGATGGTGTAGAAGGCTGCGTCAAATGAGTAATTAAGGCTTAGGCTAGGTTATTGAAGAACTTGCAGTACATGTTTGGTGAAGCTCTGAACATGTTTCGCAAGCAACACCCTGAGTTTCGTGAGGTTGCGCAAGCAAATGTGGAGAACACATACATTGCATGCGTAAGCTCCTTGGGTGTTCCTAGAAATCATACTGATGACGTTGACATGTTTATTTGTGTGAGAGCAATTCAAACATTCTTAAGTATTGATTGGACTTATGGTAACGAAAACCTACAGTAGGCCATAGTGCCATTTACGTTTTTTTGCGCGTAAGCTCTGTGTAAGCCCCGCGTAAGGTCTCGCGCAAGCTTCGTTAGCCAATCTGTGTGCTTGCGTATGTCGCCTCCTACAAGGCCTTTCCTGGAACTGCAAAATAAACAGCAGCGTCGCCTTGTGCAAACGATGTCCATCGATGTCCTACATTCTTGATGCACATTGTCCATCCCTGCCACATCCCTCAGTTTTGCTGGAGAAGGTCTTTGCCGCTCGTTTCTTCCAGGATTGCCCGGTGACAACCAAGGTCCAGCACAGCACAGCTTGTCGGAATTTTCCATAGCAGTTCCTCATCGTTAACATCGTCCTCATCATCTTCCACATCATGCACCTGACTGTCGTAACGCTATAACAACAGTTTGTGCGCGTAAGCTCTTGGTGTGTGTGTGTGTGTTCGTGGTAGAACTTGTCAGGGCAGGCCTGGCTTACGCTTCAACGCTTCATTGCCAACCATGATGCCGCGTAAGCCGTAAGCCAAAACCTGACTTTCGTAAGCCAGATGTAAGGTCCCGCTTAAGCATGTTGATACGACCTATTGATTGACGGAACCTTTTGGACGCAGCTCAAATGGATGGTGGGTCCCAAAACAGGCCCCCTGAGAACCGAACCGACACTGTGCAGAAGGTCTGCTGCCAGTATTTTGTCCGGGCAAATGTGAAGCCTGGGATCACCAAATCGAAAGCACTGAAGACTGAGCTCGTCACTTCGCAAGTCATCAATAAAGAGAGGATTTTATCTAAGTCGGCTAGAAAGGCCTTTTGTTCTGCACTTTTAAGGAGTCGTGGGCCAAGTGCGTCTTGCTGAAGGGCCATGAGTAATTTGGAAGTAAGTGCAAATGGAAGATTGTAAGTGGTGAACAGTTTGAAGATGCGTTTCCAGTGGGGGAAGGGTAGTAAGAGTGCAAGGAATTTGACTGATGCCTGTATGGCTGTTCTTTGTGTGTTGAATTCGAAGGGGTCATGATGGATCTTTCTTTGGGGATTGAAATGGGATTCAAAGGGGTTATACTAATAGTCTAGAACCAAGCAACGTCCGCAATGAACCTCTGGCCACTTTTGTTCAAGAGTTTCCCACGCAAACTGAGGCTGTTTGGACACACACACACAGTGTTATTTCTGCCCTTCGCTCGGGTCTGGATCATAGAAGACCTCATAATCAACGGCTTGCTTATGGGGACGGTCCTGTGTTTTGGGGCCCTTGGGGCCCTTGAAGATGAGAGAATCAGAGACTTGTTGGCAAGGTTCTTCACCCTAGCCGCTAGCCCCTTAGCCTGAGACTTCGTTGCTGAGCGCCGAAAGGCCTCGCTTTCTGATGCTTCCCCATTCATTTATATTCATTCCCCAATTGGATCATGTCGACTGTCCCTCCTCAGTGAGCCTCCAAGCTCGGGATATTGGCATCCGAAAGTACCCCCCCACACATCCCCCCACACACACACACACACACACACCACTTACTTTTTGGTGCACTTTCAGCGCTTTTACCTCGCCAAGCATGGCCCCAGTGCTGACCAGCTAGGACACCCAACTGCATGGAATCCATGTAGATTTTCAGGTGAAGCTCATTTTCTTCAATTTGGACATGATCAACAGCTAGCCATTTCAGAAGTCCATGACATTTCTGCTCAGAACTTGGGATTACAAGGACCTCCACTTCTCCCGATGTCGACGATGGCGCTCGCGAACTCAGGCGCCGCCCGCCGCGCCGCGGGAACCCCGACGCCGAAGCCGCCGATTCCGCCGCCCCCGACGCGGACGCTGGTGAGCAGTGAGGCACGAAGACCGGAAACGTGAGGGGAAGATGAGGGTGGGAATTGATCAAACATGCAGTGCAAGAGATAACAATATATATATCACATTGATATGGGTGTATGCTGCTAACAAAAACACACACACACATAATTGTATACTGTATGCAGCACTGTTTGTTGAAATATGTTGAAAGGTATTGTCAATTTTGCTTTAGAACACGTTTCCTGACCTTTATATATAGATATTATCTATTCTGGGATTGCTGTCTCGCTATACCACCATCCTATGGAACTAGTAAAGAGTGCAGCCTGTCTTGCGGCAAGGCTTTTGCCCATCATCTTGTTGGTCGGTCAGAAGACATGAGTGGCTGGGTGTTGCATGGCCCCGATTTGCCGTGACGTGCCTTACCCGGAAGACAGACATGACCAACGAGTCGGCCAGGCTTCCGTTTCTCCGTTCGCCGTGGCGTCCTCCTCCCACGTTCCGTCAGGCAAAGGTGCCAGTGGCGCCGGTCGCGCCCCGTCCCAAGCAGAAAAGTCAGGCGTGACCAGCGACGTCAATTGACGCTGCAGATCGGGGTGAAGAGGAAAGAGGGTGTAAAGATCTGGGGTCTCAAAATGTCGGCCAGAATGGTTACTCCCAAACCATCCCAAACCAATGATTGTCAAATTCTGACATTTTCCTTTTTCACTTTTGGTTTTCTGGGGCAAGAAGGTCTCAAGTTTGCGAAGATGCCTTTCGTTTTGACACAATTGTTGTTTCTATATCATATATATATATATATTGTATGTGCAGGAGCTCTCAACACACTGGTCCCTGCAGAATCAACCACGTGACTTCTACGAACTGGTAGGCTTGTTTGAATCCTTCTGTGTAAACCTCACGGGAAGTTATACATAAGTAAAGGCAAACGTTTGGTAAACCCACTCCAGAAGACAACCTCCGCAGGAGACAGCAAGGATTCTCTCGACGAAAGATCAACTGGTCAGCGGTAGACTCAAGCCTATTGTAATGCAGGCCCACTCAACCACGATGGTGATCGGTGAACGGTTACGGGTGTTGATATGTTGATGTCTGATTGATGACCATGATGAATGGCCCTCAAACAAACACTGCCCGACATCCGTCCTCCAGTTTGACGTCTGGATTGCAGTCGAACCTGTCCGAAAGTGATGCATGAGTCCGAACGTGTGAGTCGTGCCATGAGCCGATGGATCGAATCATACGGAACGGTTGCGACGAATCGGACGAATCGGACGAGCTTCATGGCTGGGATAGTCCTATTTCTCTGATAGGTCTGATAGGTACATGAAGGAATTTTATGTCTTGACAGGTTGTTGAAGAGCGGATTTTGTGTGAAGTTGTTCCGAGCTATTTATCTAAATGCAGCAACCCACCTTAACCTACCTTGGGTTCTGTGTGAAGTTCCTTTGCTGATCCTTCTTTGATCCCCTTCTCCTGCCTTTTTTTGCCTTCTTCTTCCTACTGTGCCTCTTCTTCCGACCAGATTTCAAGCAACTTATCCAAATTCCAACAGTTTCAAATCTGATCTCTGGCACCACCAAGCCACGCAGGATGCCAGTTTGATGTCCTCGGAGATTTGTTCTGAAGGCACCATCAGGAATATTTCCAGAACCTTGTCTTTTACTATAGAGTTATTGATAATATCAATGTATACAGTATATATACTGTATATATATAATGATTTCAACCAAGCTTTCATCCGCAAGCCCAAGCTCATGCCAGGGTCCGTCCCTCTTTCAAGAACGGTGCCAAAGCTTGCCGCAGGCCCACCATCAGCGGCGACGACTGCTTACCAGCGACTCGGGCGGCAAATCTCAAAGTCCTAAAAGCCATGTAGATTCCAAACTTCGGTCAGAACTCTTGGCGAGCGATCTGCGAAGGGATTCCACTTGCTTTTGGCACCTTGACCCTCCTCTCCTTTCTAACCCAAACTTGAGAAGGACACCAAGAGCCTTGACAGACGTATAGATCCTGAGGAAAGTCCACTGTGTTCAAACCGACCCAGGTGTGTATAGGTTGATACTTTCTGAAATGTCGTGATCTGGAAGGACAGAAAAAGGCACCAAGGTTTTGGGGAACTCAAACTATGAGTGAACCTGACCAGCGCATGGCTATGGGTTGCCAAACTGCCTCCCATCTTTACAACCGAAATCAACCGATGTGGACCCCAACCCCTGTTTGATTTGAGCATGGCTACCACCTTGTCAAGAGCAGGTACCCTGTCCGCGTGATCAAAATTGGCGTACGAGTAGGTCAGCCATAAGCGAGAAGGAAGGTTTTGGGGGTGGTGTGGTGAGGTGATTTCTGCAATTGTGCAGGAAGTGGTGAACAGTCATGAATCATGAACAATCTCTACTTTCGATTAGTCTCACAATTCTTGCTCCATCTTCATGGGACTTTGGATCATTTAGAGGCCTGATGGGCCAAACTCATCCTCCACCCCTTGAAGCCTTTGGACGAAGCCACTTCACCTACCGCCGGCGTCACGGTTATTAGTTCGCCACATGCCTTCGAGGCTGCCCAGGTGGACGACACCAGTTCGCCATGTCGAAACCATGTCGAAACAACGCTCCAGAGGTGTGAAGCATTGATGTCGAAACCATGTCTTGTTTAGGCACATCTTCTTAGTTCAGGTGTGAATGGGAAGACATGAATACCGGACATGAATGGGATGACCCAGGCAAACCACATCCCATTCTAGTCATGTGGCTGGTGTCACTCTCGCAGTGTGAGCAGTGTGGCTGGTGTCCATGGTCTTCCAGCTTCAGAAACCAGGAGGAGTGTTTGATAGTGTTTGATCCGGGGTGCAAGTATTCAGAGTCCACGCGATTGGACATAATGAAGGCCCTAGTTGTCTAATATTGGGCCGGGTGAATCCGAATACTCCGGTCAGTTGCAACTGCAGTATTCTGGAAACGTTCGGCACCAGCCCAAAAACTCCCCGTTGGATGACTCCAGACGAAGGAATCCTACTCACTCATCACGTGTTCTCACTCCATTCATTTTTACCTATTGTTTACACCTCTTTGGGGCCGCCGGTCCACTATGCCACCACCACCTTCAGTCCGTTTGGTCGCCGAGGTCAGCAGAGCCGGTCGGAGAGCCGCGTGGCCGACTCGTTGAGCCTCGAGCTCTGCGTCCCCGGCGACGAGTCCTGGCAGCTCCGCCGGTGACGCCTTCGACCGGTGACGTGGCGGAGCGAAGGGCGGGTGGAAGGAGGTGCAAAGAGAAGGAGACCGGTGGACCATGTACGGAAAAGAGAGAGAGAGAGAGAAAAATCCACGTTTTCTTTTTCATGTGAATGGACCTTTGGAAGCTGCATCCGGGACTCTACCCCCAAGTTGAGTGTTTCAAAACGATAAAGTAACATTTCTTGCCTAGACTAGAAGGACCTTCCTTCCTTCCATTCCTGAATGTAGCCAGCCAGCTGAAGCGCTGAAGCAGCAGAGTTGACTGTGACAGATGACGACAGATGTGCTAGCAGTCTTTGACCACAGATAGCCTAAGCGTGCGATGAAAGACGCGCTGCTTGGCTTCACGGCTTTGCAAAAAGAAGAGCAGGAACAATTGATCAAAACGATCTGTGTGCCGAAGCCAACAGAGCAAACACGGCTTCCTGGTAGTCAAGGTGCCCAGCATGTAGAGTGTGAATTTCATCCAACTCCATCGGGTTTACTTGGTGAGTTAACAAATGTTCAGGCGCAGGGTTTGACATGGCTTTTACAGCATGAAAGATACGAGGACGTTCGAAGAGGGATTCTGGCGAATGAAATGGGTATCGGAAAGACTGTGGAAATGATTTCGCTCCTGCTGGCAAGCCCAGTGACGTTGTCTTTGGTGGTTCCTCCCACATGCTTGCCCCAATGGTGTCAGAGAGAGTGGACCAAGCCAGCGATCGAAGCTTTGACATACGCTGCTACGAAAAGGACATTGCCAGAAGATTTGGGCCAGAAACGCGGAACAACTGTGATGCTAACAACGATGACAGATGGCAACCTCGGAAGCGAACCCGAGCCCAAGCTGTGCTGAAGCTCCTTGAAAAGGATGCCGAAGCCGCTGAAGGGTCCGCTGTCCAAGGGCGTAGTGGCGGCGGGTGTCCGGGTACAGTACAACTGAGGGGGACACCTTCTGGATGTGCTGTTTTGGGTGGAAAGGAGGATTGAAGCGTGGGACCGATTGATCCTAAGTCATTGGACATGGATTTCACATGATTGCACCATGACTAGTTTGGAACAGTCCTAAATGATCTAAATGGTCCAAAAACGCACACATCCACCAATGGGCTGCTGTTCAATGGGTTAGCAGCGGGGGGTGCGGTTGGTTAGCCATTTGCTATATATATGTTGCAGCATCAATTAAGCCATGCAACCACCACCAGGTTCCGAACAAAGTCCGATTCAGAAACCAAAAATCCGCGATTCAGAAACCACAACCGCGATTCAGAAACCAAACTTGCAGCGCTTCAAAAACCAAAATTCCGCGCTTCAGACACCACCATTCCCCGTTTCAGAAACCAACATTCCGCGATTAAGCAACCAAAAAACAACGATTCAGCAACCAAATTCACAGTAGGTTAGGTGGGGTGGTGGTATGGGGCTGGGGTAATAACGTTCCTGGGAGATGGCAGCTGGGTACTGAATCAATCACAGTAGGTTGGGTGGGGTGGTGGGATGGGGCTGGGGTAATAACGATCCGATGGCAGCTGGGTACTGAATCACAGTAGGTTGGGTGGGGTGGTGGGATGGGGCTGGGGCAATAACGATCCTGGGAGATGGCACCTGGGTACTGAATCACAGTAGGTTGGGTGGGGTGGTGGGATGGGGCTGGGGCAACAACGTTCCTGAAAGATGGCAGCTGGGCACTGAATCACAGTAGGTTGGGTGGGGTGGTGGGATGGGGCTGTGGGAGATGGCAGCTGGGTAGTGCATCACAGTAGGTTGGGTGGGGTGGTGGGATGGGGCTGGGCAACAACGTTCCTGGGAGATGGCAGCTGGGTACTGGGTCGCAGTAGGTTGGGTGGGGTGGTGGGCAGATGTAGTGACCGTGCAAAACCAGGGCAGTTGGGTTTTGAACCACAGTAGGTTGGGGGGGGCTGGGGTAATAACGTTCCTGCGAGACGAAGCCTGAGTGGAAAAACAAGAACGTCATTGGTTTCGTTGTTGCGCTTGGTTTCCGAATATTCGTTGGTTTCAGAATAGTTCTGATCTTTTTTGGTTTCCGAATAATGTTTGGTTTCCGAATAATCGTTTTGGTGTCCAAATCACCGTTTTGGTTTCTGAATCATGCTTGGTTTCCGAATCATCATTTTGGTTTCGGAAGAAAGCCGCAACCGGTTCCGAACAAATCCGATTCAGAAACCCAAAATCCGCGATTCAGAAACCACAGCGGTTCAGAAACCACAGCCGCGATTCAGAAACCAAACTTGCAGCGCTTCAGAAACTAAAGTTCCGCGCTTCAGAAACCACAATTCCGCGTTTCAGAAACCAACGTTCCGCGATTCAGCAACCAGCTAAGTCAGTTTGAGCGGGGTTTGAGTAAGGATTGCATTCAATAACGAGCTTTGTTTTTGCATTTCTTTGCAGATCTGAAGAGGTTTACAGCTCGTCCCGGACGCCTCCGTCGTGGGCATCCCGGGAGATCCAGTCACCCCGACGCGAGCGCCGAGCTTCCGCGGCTCGGGGGGACCTTTGATCTCGGCGCGGACCCGTGCGACACGCGGCCAGATCCCGAACTTCCGGAGGAAAAGAGGCCGTCGTGTGCCATCTTCGCGCGCGAAGATCCAAGAAACATCGGATGCAATGTGCAAAGCGAGACACTTATTGGAGGATTGTGAGGCGGTAATCGCTAAGATGAAATGTCCGTTCAGAACACTGTTCTTGACGTTATATACGGTTTATCACGAAAACCCTTCCTGCACGGCTGGGTACCTTTTGACGAACATATCACATGGAAGTGGATGAGAAAATGGTCCCAAGTTCGGAAGACTACTTTCCTCTACGAACAGGGGGGTTTTCACTCCACTTCCATGTGATGTGTTCGTCGGAGTGTACCTCTCTTTGTTTCGGCTTTCTCGGGGTTTGCGCCACCCGATCCCCGCCGCAGATGGACGATTCCGCGCCGTCCTCTGCAGAGTGCACACCCGAGGCACACGTGGTTTTAAAAGGATGGGAGTAGCTTCAAGAGACAGTGCTCTGAATTCTGCCAGCAATAGTAATTAATAAATAGAGATTATTTGCATGTCTTTGCTATTCTGCTGGAAATATGACATCATCCAAGTCGACCTGCTGGAAAGGCAAACTTCACTGGCATCCACTGACCTCAAAACTTGATGGACCACATGACGTGAGCTGGATGCTACTGGTATTGTTATGACTGTGGATGCAATTGAGATGAAGCAGTATAGGGTGATAGGAGATGATATGAAAAACCGTAAAAACCTCACACTGAGCAATTTGACTTCTAGCATATTCTACCCGGCAGATTGACCAATGCCGCGTGCGGCCAGACGGCCAGAGGCACCAACTGCTCACAAAAGTCGTATTTTTCGTTATACATTTTTGTTGGTTACGGATGTTCTATTGAAAGTGGCATTTCAAAAGGGATTCAAAGGAGGTGCACAAAGTCATGTGTCTTCCAGTACAAACTGCGTCTTGCTTCAGCTGGAAACCCCAGATCCTTTTCTTGGTGGCTTTGCTTTTTCGCTGTAGCGAAATGCCAGATTTTCCTGTTGCCGCTTCTTCAGTTCTACAAGCCGCCACGCTCCAGCTCTTTCAACCTTCTGTACCCAGCTCTTCAACTTCGTTCTTGCGTCACTTTGGTGCTGAAAATCCATTGAGCCGTGTCAAGACCACAAGGCAACCGCCGCGATGGGACATGACCGGGACACGCGAAAGAAGCAACGCTGGACTCCGGTATGTGGCCTACAAGCCAATCACGAGCTAACGACCTGGGAAAGTCTAAGTTTGAAACGCTCCAGGATCTAAACAAAAATGTGAAGGGCCGAGGAAGCTCTAGGATCTTTTGTGCAAGTGGATAAATTGATTTGAGGTTCAAGTTACCGAAAGACAACATAACAAACGCAAAAGTAACTCTAAAGCCAGGGAAACACAAGCAGAAAAGGACAAGTGACGCATGACATGGACTTGTACTAGTACAAAACTGCTGGCACTGACCCCCCCCCGCCCACCCCAAACAAACAGTGTTGGTAAAATGAACACGATTACACGTCGTATGACGTACCTTTTTTCAGCCGTTGGCATATTCTAGCAGTCAACTTTATCTAGAAGTCGATGATGTAGGTTAAGAGTTAAGAGGAATTCAGACATAGATACGGAGGCTAAACTTGTATAGGCAAGACTTGGATGATCTTCGTTGACTATTTTGGAACATTTTTATTCTTTCCACGAGCCACTGGTTCAAAAGGCCTTTTGTTTGGACAGAACAAAAGGCATCTCGGATGAGGATTACTGAACGAAGTCCCAAGACCGGACTTTCTCAAAACATATGAAGGGTGCATTCTCACCCTTGGACACACGTCCCGTGTGCGTTCTTTTCAGAGAGACCTTCGGTTCTTCGAACCTAGGCCAGGGCCAGGGGTGAACATCTTCGGGACCAAGCGGTGCTTCCCAGGCATCTCTTCCAGTCACCTCTTCTGGATGGTCTTCCAGAGAAAAGATCCGGAAGACATAAGTGGCCCTTCCTCTGTGTTTTTGCGGAGTCTCTTCTATAGGTGGGCCAGCGCTTCTTGACGCGGCGTGCCGAGGTGCGGTGGTGCGAAGAACGGGGGGTTGGTTGAACGTGGCGGGGTGTTGAACCAGAGTGGGCTGAAGGACCAAGAGCAAATATAGGCTTGCCTGTAGATCTTCCTCTACTTGTAGATCTTGTAGTAACAATTAATTCTATATGACTAAGTGTTGCTCCTACCCGAGGTGTTGGCTTTGGGCATCTCTGGGCCTTCGGGAAAGGGTGGTGAACCAAAGTCTCCTGAGAAGATCAGTTACCCTAGTGAAAAACTCACATAGACTACTCAAAAGGATGTTCCTTTATGGAGGTCCATGTGGGGATGGATCGTGCCACACCTGGAGTTCGTTCTGGTTCGTCCCCAGAACACCTGGAAGAGGTAGGTCAAACAAGCAGGACTTCGGGATCTGGGTGGTGACCCACTGCCATGTGA